AATTCGAAACAAATTAAATTATGATATTAAATAATATAAGCCATATGACAAGCAACTTGTAACAAGAAATTGAAATGAAATATACATCTTGACTTTTCTGGAGCCAATAATACATGCCTCAGGTGCAGTTTTCTTAGATGCGACAGTCTGCATTATCCATTCCATATTTCTGGCAATTTCTTCCCTCGCTTCCTCTGGATCATCACTGCGTTGGCCAAAGAATTCATACACCAACTGAAACAGTATGTTAGAATGTATTTAATGATTAAGAGGCACAAAGACATGCAACAGGGCTTGCCTGCTTGTTCAATATAAGATTAACACTAGCACAACAATGACCATAAATCAACTAATGTGATAACACTGTACAAGTACTTTTGTATACCTGTAACGTCCGTATATAATAAATAGGGTTTAAGGACACATGAAGATTTCCAAGGAAGCACTTTAGGGAAACTAAATTTGAAACAAAAAATTTGCTGTTTAATAAGCTCAAATGATTTATACTTACAAAGCATCCTTCCCTCAAAACAAGGGAACTTTTCTAAAATGGGCTCAATCTTCCCGGTCTTCAAGGTGGTTTTGCCACTCTTTTGCGGAATTGTCTTGTCTGTTTTAGTAGGGTTCGCAGATGAGTAATTGATTGCTTTCCTTCCCATTCCTTCTCTATTTCATCAAGATGGGATGCAAAATCTTTCTCTGATGTCACACCTGATGATTTATTAGCCATCTTGAACAACTTCTGAGGTTGTGCATCTTCAGAATCCTTAGGCGCAGGTCTCGTTTGCATTGTTTTGAAATCTACTGGTGCGCATCGCTGACTCAATTTGGACACAAAAAGCTCTGAAAAGACACAATAGAGAGTTTGTTTTAACCTTCGATTAGAAAGAAGGAGTGTGTTTCTTGGTTATAGCAAACAGATAATATTGAATTCACAAATTGGGGGTATTGAGTCTCATGCATTTATTTAAGAAAAGAACATTCAGACGAGTGTTTTTAAATCACAAGATCTTACTGAAATCTAACAGAAGAGTGCCTAATTCTAAATCATATGCAGTTCAACCAAAAACATTATCTGAAAATAATTACACTGTGATAAAACAAAAAGAATCACAGAATATCAAGTTCTGTAATACAAGAGCCATAAATAATGAAATTAGTAAAAGTCGAATACTTGGGATATGCGAACTATCAGTATGTATGCACCTTGACACTACATCACTGAATAAGAGATAAAAACTGAAACCAACTCAAACTTACCCAAGGTGTCTTGCCATGTGCATAGGCAAATGAAGGATATTTTGCCACCATCCTCCTGCCGATTGATTGATAGTATGGTGAAGATGACATCGATGGATAAACAGTTGTGTGAAACGTTTCACTCGCTTCAATACAGAGTTAAAAATCTGGCTGCTCCTTTCACCTGCTTGAAGGGCTGCAATCGTAGTAGGTGCAAGATCAGGAAGGGGATCCTGTCTGGGGTTGGCAGCGCAGACAGTAGACTGCGGCTTGAGAGATCTGCTGAAACAAAATGAAAGTATCATATGTTAGTTAATGTGGAAGTAAGTGGGAACCTGAAGACCACATTTAGGTTAGGTCAGAACCATAATGGAAATGTAATGATGTTCGAATGTATTTATTTCTCTCATCTTATTGTTTGTAGATCATAATTCCAGAAAGTCAGACAGGTAAATTTCTCGGTTCCTGTCAAGAATATTGAATTACATTTTCCCAGGGAACAATATACCCGATTTAAATCTACAATGATACATAAAATATTAGAGTTGAAATAATCACCTGAAGTTCCAATGACCTGCAAATCATTTCATGTCAGAAATAAGTGCACGTAAAGAATTTGGCAATAAAACAACAACTGGATGTGCTGAAAAAGACTTAGAAAAATACTTAGTGACTTGATAACTTTAGCAAGACAGAAAAAAATTGTTAGTTTTAGCATCGATTCAGATGTTTTAGATAAACGTACACCACCCACTTGACTATGTGGTTGCCCAGTCTAGGTTATGAATCACTGTCTACACATGATCTTAGGCTGCCACCATCAATACAACATGTAAACATTAATATGTGAACATTATCTTTGCAATATCATCAATGTAGGTACTATATTTTCGCATAGCGCTTACCTGGGGGGAGAATAATGACAACGTCAGCTTGTTCAGTCTTCTAAAATGGCGAGGATCGTGCAGTGGAATGTGTAAACCCCGTAGATGACGGCACTTTTGGAAGATGACGGCACTGTTGCCGTAGAGTTACCTCCCTTGGTTCATTTGTCACAATGTCATGTTACATACAAACTTAATGTCCTGTCTGAATAAGTGATACCTATTTTTCATGGAAATAATGATATTAAATGAAATTAATATATCCCGTGTGTGGGTTACTACTTTTCCCTACCTTTTAGCGAACTGGCACGCCACATTCTAAAAATAGCTTATTGCGCCATCAAAGCGTTTACGTCTTTACGCTACGATCGCGCGAGTTGACAGACGATATTCGCATTGAAATCACTGCGTTTTGAAAATGCTGACATCCATTTGAAGATATCTAAAGAATGTCTAGTTATTATGTAATATGAGGCCGGTAGAGGTGCAGCGATTGCCTCGATCACCATTCATTGGCGCCAAAATGTATCGAGGCACGCTTGCGTTGACAGATTAACACTAATGTTAATAAAGAAGAGAGATATATTAACACTGGTGTAAATAAATGAACACTGATGTTAATAATATTACGTAAGTCGTACTTGCCATGCAAATAATATTACGTGTATGTAAAACAAAGGATTACGACATCTTATTTCATTTTAGCCCAATGTTATTTCAATTAGATTAGTTAGAGGGGCAATAACTTTAGACCAACTTTCCAGCTGTACAGCAAATTTAACCAAAATGTCTGAGGTAAGATTAGTTGAAACAGATTATTTTTTAATATTTCGAACACATTACCATATCTAATATGATACACATTTTCATTAACAACAAGATCTATCCGTACTCATCGCTGTGCACTGACATTGTTTGAAGACGTACATAGGCTACCACACATTAACGCCTGTGTTATATGATTAACATCAAGGCGTTGGCAAATCAACACCTGAGGTTTCCGTATAAACGGAGATGTTAAATATTTAACATATTAACGCGTTAATGCCTAACACTATTTTTTACAGTGCAACTGACGCTGTATTTACTTGACCACTTAGATCAGAACTGTATTCCACAAACATATCCTTGGAAGATATTGACACATTTTGTACTATTATATCTCCGTGCCGTGAAGGAGATATCAGAAAGGTTTGAGCGTGACATATCAGGGCTGCTGTTGACCCGCATTGGCTGAGTCATCTGTCAAACCGTGTGCTACAGTCCAGTCATTGCTGATAACTAACTTTGACACTGACGTACAGACGAAAGTACACACCTGATTTATTTCCCCTTAAACGACATAAATTAATTTAAAAGAGTTTTCATTTTGTTTTACAAGTCGTATCCCAATTGCGTAGATCGATGAACACGCTGTTGATGACTGGATTTTCTGGTCCGGAATCGATTATTTACAGACCGCCGCCATATGGCTGGAATATTGCTGAGTGCGGCGTAAAACTAAACTCATTCTTTCGAGATCGTATCCTGACAGATCAAGATTTTACCTTCTACAAATCAGGAACAGTTTACAAGGAAAATAAAAGGAACATTAAAGTTTGGCATGAAATGCTTGTGGACCCGTTTTTTTGTAAATATCTCTTCATCCAATGACCCAATCGATCTCAAACTGTGCAAGTGGATGTTTTTTAGACAACCCTAATCACATTGTAAATCACCGATGTTATGCATTTGTATTAAAGAATCTGCCTATGTAACTGTCAACAAAATAAACAGCAGAACGCAGACTGCTTGCAGAGGGAGGGAGCCAATGACCTGTAACAGCGGCAGAGTTGGGTCATAAAGGTCAACGTTCGTCAATGTAGGTCAGCTATGCTGGATGACCCTGATGTCAAAAAGAATCTAACTTTGGATGCCTACCTTTTTGTACAAGGTTTTGTTTATTGGTTGTTGGTTTATTTTTCACAATTTTTAGCACGATGTTCTTTTTCATGCCAAGAGCAAAAGTTGTACGTTTCATGTAATCCGACACCTTATAAATCGGTTTGCTACGTTTGCTCTCAACACATTTCTAATTACACGTTTAGCATCATCTGAATAAGCTTTCATGATGACAGCTAGAAGTAGTCAATGTGAATGATCCAAACAGTCTATCACTGTGCAGTGCACAGGTAACTATCTTGAACTGCACGTGCATTTACGTTTATGACCCAACACTGCCGCTGTTACAGGTCATTGGCTCCCTCCCTCTGCAAGCAGTCTGCGTTCTGCTGTTTATTTTGTTGACAGTTACATAGGCAGATTCTTTAATACAAATGCATAACATCGGTGATTTACAATGTGATTAGGTTGTCTAAAAAACATCCACTTGCACAGTTTGAGATCGATTGGGTCATTGGATGAAGAGATATTTACAAAAAAAACGGGTCCACAAGCATTTCAAGCCAAACTATTTTTTTTTATAGGGTGTCAAACTTAAATGGAACAATTTTCATAAATATCCCGGATCTATTCGAAAATGCAGGAAGTTCGGAAGTTACGTCACCACTCTCATCCCTCCTATAGCTAACAAAGCACAGAATGTCTCTCGCTCACTAAAGCTTTTTGATTGGATAGCTATTTTCATCATTGTGCTGTCCGCCTGTCCGTCTGGTATTTCAGCTTCTTTATCAAAACAAACTGGAAACATAATGTAGTGAATAGTCGAGGATAGTAATCAATATGGACATTAATTAAATCTTTAGCCAAAACGACCAGACTAGAGATCACGTGACACTTGCCTGAGTCACCTGACCAATGTTGTGCAACGTGCAATGCGTTATCTGTGTGATACAATGCATCGTGTCGATAAACCGATAAACAGTCTTTGCTCTCGATAGCAAACATGAAGTCAACCGCTCTGATCCTCGTGTGCGTCACCATCGCTACAGGTGAGATATTCAAACTGTGCTATTAATCCGATTACTCAGTAAGGTCAGTGGTCGAAGTAAAAATTATAATGTTTGATTTAAGAACATTTACGAAGCATTGGATTGGGTGAAATTAATAAACTAGGAGATGAAAACGTCAAAGACGCTTTTCTTTCGAAATTGACCAGATACTTTTTACATTTTTCATATTTAAAAAATGAAGTTAATTAACATTGTCTTAAGATTTTGAATGTAAGTAACTTTTTGGTTGACGGATTCCTTCGTTTCATTGTGTAGTGATACGTGTACGCGTTTTACGGAATATTTAAACACACCTAGACGTGACATTCTTTATTAATTGATATTGGTCAACATGCGAACTCGATGACATGAGTGAGTGAGTTTAATTTTACGCCGCTTTTAGAAATATTCCAGCAATATCATGGCGGGGGACACCAGAAATGGGCTTCACACATTGTACCCATGTGTGAAATCGAACCCGAGCCTTCGGCGTGACGAGCGAACGCTTTAACCACTAGGCTACCCCATTGCGCCGCTAATGATATGAAACGGGTTGCCCAGTTGGAGTTATGTGCCGTATGTGGGCCAGGATCTTGTGATCTTGTTTTCGAATCCAGTTTTCGCCAGATTATGAACCAAACTGTTAACCTGTTTTTTTTACTAAAATCATCAGCAGTTTCATTTCACACTGAACTAAATCTTCATAATATGGCTGAAATACGGCGTAAAGCACAATTCACTCATCAACAAACGACCATTATTAAGTCTGGTCACGAGTATATTACTGAATGCACTGCAGGCCTGTATGTCGACCACGGTGATCCATACAAATCCGGCACGTTGACAACGGGGAAAGTCGTCGTTACCGTCCTCGAAGACAAGAGCCCCCTGCATGCCGTCGCCTACTACCCTAACGTCACCGGGGACTACGGCGTTGTCTTCTTTATCCCGGGACTGGACGGTGTCATTCTCAGCGCGTTCTACTCCGAGTATCTCACTGCAATAGCTCAGCATGGGTAGGTCAAGTCCTATATTGAAGCTCTGTATTAAACTCAGCATGGGCAGGTAATACCACATACGCCAAAACCATAGCTCAGCATGGGTAGGTCAAGTCCAACTCGAAGCTCTGTAGCTCAGCATGGGTAGGTGATACCACGTACGTTAACACCATAGCTCAGCATGGGTAGGTCAAGTCCACCTCGAAACTCTGTAGCTCAGCATGGGTAGGTCAAGTCCAACTCGAAACTCTGTAGCTCAGCAAGGCTAGGTGATACCACGTACGTGTACACCATTGTTCAGCATGGGTAGGTGAAGTCCACCTCAAAACTCTGTAGCTCTGCAAGGGTTGGTGATACCACGTACGTGAACACCATTGTTCAGCATGGGTAGGTCAAGTCCACCTCGAAGCTCCGTAGCTCAGCAAGGGTTGGTAATACCACGTACGTGAACACCATTGTTCAGCATGGGTAGGTCAAGTCCACCTCGAAACTCTGTAGCTCAGCAAGGGTAGGTGATACCACGTACGTGAACACCATTGTTCAGCATGGGTAGGTCAAGTTCACCTTGAAACTCTGTAGCTCAACAAGGGTTGGTGATACCACGTACGTGAACACCATTGTTCAGCATGGGTAGGTCAAGTCCACCTCGAAACTCTGTAGCTCAGCAAGGGTAGGTGATACCACGTACGTGAACACCATTGTTCAGCATGGGTAGGTCAAGTCCACCCCGAAACTCTGTAGCTCAACAAGGGTTGGTGATACCACGTACATGAACACCATTGTTCAGCATGGGTTGGTGAAGTCCAACGCCTAAACTCTCTAACTGAGCATGGGTAGGTGATATGAAGTATCTCAAAACTGCATATCAAAGTGGATAGGTGCTGTCAGGTATCTGAACACTGTACCTCAGCATGGGCAGGTGATATCACGTCAAAACTATAGTTCAGCATGGGTAGGTCAAGTCCAACACGAAACTCTGTAGCTCAGCATGGGTTGGTGATACCACACACGTCAACACCATAGCTCAGCATGGGTAGGTCAAGTCCACCTCGAAACTCTGTAGCTCAGCATGGGTTGGTGATACCACGTAAGTTAACACTATAGCTCAGCTTGGGTAGGTCAAGTCCACATCGAAACTCTGTAGCTCAGCATGGGTAGGTGATATGAAGTATCTCAAAACTGCATATCAAAGGGGATAGGTGCTGTCAGGTATCTGAACACTGTACCTCAACATGGGTAGGTGATATCAAATGTCTCAACTAGGGCTGTTAGGGGATATCAATTATCTCAACTCTTAAGCTCAACATAGGAGAACTCAACTATCGTAACACTGTACCTTAACTTAGGCTGTGATATCCAGTACCTTAGTTATGTTGCTCAACATGGGTCAAGACGTGATAAGGTAATTCTACGACGATGTTGTATTGGCCATAGTCAGTTTACTCATGACTATTGATGGAGATGGACCTCCTATGTGTGTCACTTGCGATGAAGCGTTCACCATCAAGCATATACTGCTTGACTGTGTGGGCGTTTCAAATGCAAGGGATTCACATTACCAAGCGATAAATCTGAAAGATTTGTTTCCCGCTTGAGCGGGCATCTCATTGTGAACTACCTAAGGGAAGTTGACCTGTATCATAAATTGTAACTATGTAATGTGAATGACCGATTGAACGTTTTTAATTTTTTTTTGAGCTATGACGTTGTCTGTTTGTCACGAATAAATATGTTATTTTTAAAAACCCAACTCATTTAAGCTTTGTACTTCAAATGACCATGTGTACAGACTTGGTCTGGTCGCTATATGGCCGAAGTAATGCCGATGTGACGTAACACTCAACTCAACTCAGTATGGGTAGGTGTTGTTGAGTATCAACTTGAGTGGGTAATATTCAATATGTCAACTACGACATCCCTGAGTTATCCTCAGAACGTCGTAATTTTGGAATTGTTTCAATATTCTATTCCCCAATGTTTGTAGATTCGTCGTGGTCGCTAGTGACTACATTTTTCCTGCGCTTGATAACCCGACTGGTTACCACATGAACAAAGAGAAACTTGACTCCATCGCTGACAAGTACATGGAGCAGTTTTACTGGGTAAGTATCAGTCTGGTCGTCGTCTGCTCGTGCCATTTCTGCCAGGGGAGCAGTGGCTCCATATTGTATCCATTGCAACAAGGATTGGTTTCACAGATTGAATCGAACCCGTGTCTTCGGGGAACCCACTGTCCGCTAGACATGGCATTCTAGCGGAAACATCACAGTTAACAAATGGGGCGGTGGGGTAGTTCAGTGGTTGGAGGGTTCGCTCCTCACTCCGACAACCAAGTTCGATTCCGCACATGGGTACATTGTGTAAAGCCCATTCCTGATGTCCCCCGCCGTGATATTGCTAAAAGCGGCATAAAACTCAACTCATTCACTCACTCAGTGAACAAATCAACACAGCCTATAGGGGCATCCTTCATGCTGTCAGGTTACATTGGGATCGGGTAGTCAGACTCGCTGACTTGGTTGATGCAGGTTATTATATTCCAGTTACGTAGATCGATGATCATTATATCAATCACTACATTGCCTATTCCAGACTCGACAAATTAAAAACAGCATGGTAAAAATCCTATCCGGGTTAGAATTGGGGCCGTGGTACAAAGCAACCTTAGCGCTTAGCCAGTCGTAAGTCAATGTTAAGGTATGGGAGTTACGATCACCTAAGCGCTATTAAAGATCGTTTTGTACAACGGCACCCTGATCTCTAACAACCCATGTTTGTCGTTAATGGTATCAATGCCCGCACTGGATTATCCGGTCAGATTCATTTCCACTTTAAGGACGCTGCCATGCGCAAAGGTTAACGGTCTTATGTCAACTTCAATTAGAAAGCGCGGCAGGGCTGCATCAACATTAGATTGTCGTAAAGCGGTGGGGGTAGCCTAGTGGTTAAAGCATTCGCTCGTCACGCCGAAGGCCAGGTTCGAATACCCGCATGGGTATAATGTGTGAAGCTCATTTCTGGTGTCCCTTGTCCGTGATATTGCTGAAATATTGCTAAAAGCGGCATAAAACCATACTCACCCACTCTTATTGTAAGTCGTTCGATTGATTACAGGCCACGGTGAGTGTGAACGATGCAGTAATGCTAAATTAAAGGCGCGTCAGCAATACTGCGCATATACTTTCAGCTGAAGTCCAACCTGCAGAGGTTAATCCAAGCCGTAACACCGGGCGTGAATAGCAGTTGGGACCACGTCGCGCTTCTCAGTCACTCTGCCGGGGCCGACGCTATGTTGAAGATGACGGAGAGAAACCATACCTTGTTCCAGGTACGGCATTTATGTCTAAACTATGGTATCCTAGAAGGGCCATTGTCGCACTTTGCTTAGTTTTGACACTGTTTGCTTGTTTTTGCGACTAGGCGACAGCGCGATAATGTCCCTTTTAGAACTTCATGTACCAAACGGCTGTTGACGTTTGTGGCTGAGTTTCTTCCCTTCGTGGAACAATGACATCAGGTTACATCGGGATCGGGTGGTCAGGCTCGCTGATTTGGTTGATGCATGTTATTTTATTCCAGTTGCGTATAGATCGATGTGCATGATGTCAATCACTAGATTGCCTTTTCCAGACTCGACAAATGAAAACACCGAGGTAAAAGCCCTAATGGACCCGTGAAGATCTTGCGAAACTGAACTGACAAAACCTAGTTTTGACACTTTTTGCTAGTTATTGTGAGGACGACGGTATGGCAACGCATCAATGCCCCTTTTAGGATTCCAATACAAAGTCGTACTACATATAAAACACCATGACTGACTTAACTAATGCATATCCTCGTATTTCAATTCGGTAGATAGATGCTAGTGATATCAATCACGGGATTGTCTGGTCCAAACTCGATTATTAACAAACCGACCTCATATAGATAGAATACTGCAGGGTGCAGCGTGAAACAACAAATATAACTGAAATATGTTCTAGTGTTGCTTGTTTGGTTGTAATTGTTCGGTGTGAACCATTGTTTCAGGCTGTCGTGTTTTGGGAACCCTTCAGTTATCAGTTCACGACAAAGACCAACTATTCCCTCCCAGCTCTCATCACGGGGACGCAGCTGTCCACGAAGAAGGCGATCATCGTCCCATGCATCATCCCTGGTTTCGGCTACAACCACTTCTACGACATGTGGGGGGAACCTCCTAAAGTGCTCGTGGACGCCAAGGTGAATAAGCTCAACTTACCTTCACTTTAATAGATGCTGCCACTAACGCCACATCTGCTCCTACACCGTACCTCCTACTGTTACTACAAAGCTACTACTACTACTACCGTACGAGTTTAAAAGTGGTCTCCTAATGCTGCTACTACCACACACCCCAAATTGCGTAGTATAACGATACTCATGATGTTGATGACTGGATTGTCGTGTCCAGACTCGATTATTTACAGACCACCGCAATATAGCTGGGATATTGCTGAGTGCGGCGTAAAACTAAACTCACTCACTACTACCACACCCTACTACTACACAGGTATCTGTTCTACAAAGCGGTCCAAGCCCTACGACCTTGTAAGTGTATGCTAAAGTATGGGAGTGAGATCACCTTCGCATAGACCAACATTTAGTCACTGAAATGAACATATACTCTCCCAAAAATAGAAACGCATATAGGAATTTCAGCTGTATTTTTATGTTTATTTTGGAAACATCTTGTAGGCTTTATGAGTTAATGAAATATAGCGAAATTGCACACTGGGAATGCAGACTTATCCGTCTTTGGCACCAACTCGAGGAAAGTCAGTTTGAGTGTCACATGGAGACGTGTGGTGGCGCTGAAGTCAATACCTCGTGTGACCACCGTGGGCATCAAGAACTGCACGGCATCGCCTCGGCATCGAACGAATAAGTCTCAGAATCTCGTGTTGCCCAATCGCAGCCCACTCTGCCTGTAGTGCCTGTGCGAGTTGCTGAAGTGTCTGGGGCTGAGGGTTACGGCGTCGCACCGTCTGTCCAGGGCATCCCACACATGTTCGATCGGGTTTAAGTCCGGTGATCTTGAGGGCCAGGGGAGCACATTGATGTTGTGGGTCTGGAGGAAGTCTCTAGTGTGGGTGCTGTGTGGGGCCTGGCATTGTCCTGTTGAAACAACTCCCTCTGCAGCGATCAATGATTGGAAGGAGGTGTGGGCGTAGGATTTCGTCACCAAATCACCAAATCACTTCTCCTACGACAGGTGATCGCTCCCCACATCATAACACTTCCCCGGCCGAATCTGTCAACTTGGGGAACGCAAGCGTCGGCGAAACGTTCACGTCGACGTCTGTACACCGGCATTCTTCCATCGCGTCGTTCCAACAAAAAATCGTGATTCATCACTGAACCAGATTCTACGCCAATTCGGTAGGTTCCAGGCCTGAACGTTGGTGCACCATTAAACTCGATGTCGACGATGTTGTTGTCGAAGCACAGGGCCAAAATAAGGTCTTCTGGCATGTAAACCAGCCTCTGTCAACCTGTTCCTGACGGTCTGTGCAGAAAGCCTCCTCAATCCGGGTATTTCTCGAGCGGTACTGGTCGCCGTAGCTGTTCGATGACGCAGGTGATGTACCCGGATGTAGCGATCCTTTGCCGCAGTGGTCGCTCGAGGTCGCCCACTACGAGGGGCATCTGCTACCGCATTCTGCCGGCGATATCTCTATCAGAGCCGAGAAATGGTGCTTTGGTGAACATTGATGCGTCGGGTAACTGCACATTGAGACTGGCCAGCTTCTAGCAAACCAATGGCGATATGACGGTTGGCTTCACTTAGACATGGCATTTTGCGTTCGTCAACAATATTCCAAATACAGTGAATAATCGACAGACAGCGATCAACCTTTTATACCCATCATTGAGACTATCTGATCCCCAACTTTCACGTGCATTGCATGTGAATTGTGTATTCTTTGGCGCTACACGCCGAAATTGACAATCATGCTGTTAAATACGGGTATTTTACGGATGGTGCGTTTTGTTGTGATGTTTAAAAACATAAACACCATAGGACTCATAAACAGAGCAAAACCTTTTGTAAAATGAATCACGTTTTAATTCATTGCTACATGAAATTGCTATTTTCATGATGCGTTTCTTTTTTGGGAGAGTATATTTTACAGAAGAAAATGTTTTTCTATATTATGCTAATAGAATATAATAAAAAGGGGGCCTATGGATGATTTTCAGAAACTGAATCTGTAGTAATCCAGACTTGTCACATATTCCAGACCTTTGCTTTCCGATCATTTTGTGGGACAGGACCCCAATAATAAAAAGACAGGCAAACTTAGATTGTTTGTTCTATATTTTATAATTTCTTCTTTACAGAACTTTGGTCACTGCGACCTCATGGATTATGCCTTTCGTGATTGTAAGTGTGATAACGCGACCTAAACATATAGATAGTACCTATGTAGATACTATAGATATGGTTATCATGTATGTCATGTATGAACGATGCTGAAGAGTGTATAAACTGACATATACAACATACGGTTGCTATCGACAGTGAGATAATAACATGATAAGGTGAAACAGGAGATTACCGTAGTTGCCCACCAGTACCGACTTACATTGGTTTAGCCCACCGAGATATAATGCCGCAGTTTAACATGAACCCCATCAATGTAAACTGTTTCGTTTGGAACAACGTCTGGATTAACCAGGTTTCATTGTTTATGAGTTTGGGTGCCTCCTCTGGAACAGTGTCATGGGAATTCTGTGTTAGACCAATCTCCCAAAACCTGTACTGGTCCACCAAAACATGCCACCTGATATACAGGGGTAACTTGGTTTATTGAATAGCATGGCAACCTGACCACGCTGATAGTTGTTCATAGTATCAACCACCAGGTCCAATCAATGTCAATCATCGCCGTCATATAATTTGAATAAACCCATGAAGAATTGGTCTTCTGTAACCCATGCTTGTCGTAAGAGGCGACTAACAGGATGGGGTGGTCAGGCTCACAGACTTGGTTGACATATATCATCATATCCCAATTTCGTATATTGATGCTCATGCTGTTGATCACTGGATTGTCCAGCGCAGACTCGATTATTTACAGACAACCGCCATATAGCTGGAATATTGCTGAGTTGGTGTAAAACTAAACTCTCTCACTCACTATAATTTGAGTATAACTGAAGGAAATGTTAAACAACAAAGACAAACAACCTATCCTATAATGTTGGTATTTCTCCACAGTCTGTATCGATACCAAGACGTGTCTGGGAGGTAACGCCTCCATGATCCCAGCTTACCACCAGTACACCCAGGGAATAACATCTGCCTTCCTCGTCGTTTATCTCCAGGGCTTCTCCCAAACCATCAACTACGTCATCGACCAGACAAAGATACCACTACCTCTTGATGAGTTTAAATATAACATGTCAGCGCCATCCTATCAACACTGGCATCTACCATAGGACAGACTGCTCTTTATCCCATTTGTCTTTCCATAACATGCATTTCAAGTGAAAAAAAACGACGAGATACAAAAATAAGACATTGTCTATTGATGTATGTATGAATGTGTATACTGTGTTCATTAAGAAAGTCTTGGTTGAAAGTTGGTGTAAAACTAAACTCTCTCACTCACTATAATTTGAGTATAACTGAAGGAAATGTTAAACAACAAAGACAAACAACCTATCCTATAATGTTGGTATTTCTCCACAGTCTGTATCGATACCAAGACGTGTCTGGGAGGTAACGCCTCCATGATCCCAGCTTACCACCAGTACACCCAGGGAATAACATCTGCCTTCCTCGTCGTTTATCTCCAGGGCTTCTCCCAAACCATCAACTACGTCATCGACCAGACAAAGATACCACTACCTCTTGATGAGTTTAAATATAACATGTCAGCGCCATCCTATCAACACTGGCATCTACCATAGGACAGACTGCTCTTTATCCCATTTGTCTTTCCATAACATGCATTTCAAGTGAAAAAAAACGACGAGATACAAAAATAAGACATTGTCTATTGATGTATGTATGAATGTGTATACTGTGTTCATTAAGAAAGTCTTTTTGTAAATATATAAATACACTATTGATATGTATAAGTGTTTTAGCGTATATTTTCCACTTGGGGTCAATTATTGTATCCTGACAAAGGGTAACATTTATTAAAAATGGTTCATGAATATGTTACTGATACAGTTGGAATAATTGTGAAAGCACTCAAACACCTACTGCTATTGTATATGGCGAGTGTGGAAGATATCCTCTCTTTATAAACGCATTGTGTAAAACTTTAAAATATTGGTTAAAGGTTATTCATATGCATCAAAATAGAACTCCTTTGAAAGTGTACAAAATGCAAATGTATTACGATAATTGTGGATATAAGACATATGCGAGAAATACTTTTCTCACATGGATTTGGTTACGTCTGGATGTCTCAGACAGTTGGTGATGCAGCTTCATTCAAGACTGTTGCAATCGATATGTTTTTTCAATCATGGAATTGTACATTGAATAAAAGTTCAAGATACCGTATTTACCGAGAGTTTAAATAATGTTGAGTTTGCAACTCGTAATTGTCCATTGTGTAAGCTGGGTGTAGAAGATGAGTATCATTTTATTTTTATATGTACTGAATATAACTCCCTTAGATTAAAATACTTGCCATATGTATATCAGAAACAACCAAACTACTATAAATTTTAGTCCCTGTTATCAACCAAAAATCAAACACTTTTAAGAAATTTATGTAAATATATCTTTCATGCTTATAAAATCAGAGCAATCAAACTCCAATAAATGTTCTTTAAACCACAGATTTGTCCATTTTAAATGTTTATAAAGGTGTGTATATATGTTTATATTAAATATTATATTTATACTGACAAGAAATCTATTTGAACAAATAACACGTGTATTAATGATATGTATGCCCTTTAAAGTGTATCTATATTTGTAAACAAATGTATGTATGATGTATATGGGCCTGTGGCCTACATACGGAATAAAAATACTTGACTTGACTCACTGAAAAGAGTGTGTGTGAGTGAGTGAGTGTGTGAGTGAGAGTGAATGAGTATTTAGTTTTATGCGGTTTTTAGTAATATTCCTACAATATCATAGTGGAGGACACCAGAAATGGGCTTCACACATTGTACCCATGTGGGGAATCAAACCTGGGTCTTTGGCGTGATGAGCGAACTCTTTAACCACTGGGCTACCCCACCGCCGCTCTCACTGAAAACAAGAAGCAGAGTGATGGTGTAGTTGTTTTATTGACTACCTTTCCTTACTATCAGAGTAAGCATCATTACAATTATGCAGACAATTACAGAGTGATCACTTCAGCATCACAGCAACATGGCCAGGCATATGGTCACTTGAACCATGTATGCTGAGACTGAACATGGATTGTATTCTTTCTGACATGACAGACTAATAAATCAACACATTGCCATTGCAAATCCAAAATACAACTACCCAGATGCTTTAATATACATTTTCTAAAATTTATCATGCACTGCATATGTCGTCTGGGTGCAGAATAGCACTGCAGCTATCGCAAAGTAGTCTTACAGCATAGGAGTGATAGCACTATTATTACTTTCTGCATGTAGGTCCTATGAGGCAAGCACAACAGTTTATCCTGAAAATATAAGCACCTGTTTAAAGGGTTCTTTCATTCGACTTAAGATCTGGGTTCACTCCTCACATAGGTAAATCATACGAAGACTATTCTTGGTGTCCCCTAGTTCTTGAAAATTTCTAAACCGTTATTGCTCTACAGTTCAAACAAAAAGAATTTTCAAGTGTTTTGAACCTCTTTTCACACTCCCACTAACTCACTAACAGGTAACATTAGTGTGTCAAACTTAAATGGAACAATTTTCATAAATATCCCGGATCTATTCGAAAATGCAGGAAGTTCGGAAGTTACGTCACCACTCTCATCCCTCCTATAGCTAACAAAGCACAGAATGTCTCTCGCTCACTAAAGCTTTTTGATTGGATAGCTATTTTCATCATTGTGCTGTCCGCCTGTCCGTCTGGCATTTCAGCTTATTTATCAAAACAAACTGGAAACATAATGTAGTGAATAGTCGTGGATAGTAATCAATATGGACATTAATTAATTCTTGAGCCCATAAGACCAGAGTAGAGATCACATGACACTTGCCTGAGTCACCTGACCAATGTTGTGCAACGTGCAATGCGTTATCTGTGTGATACAATGCATCGTGTCGATAAACCGATAAACAGTCTTTGCTCTCGATAGTAAACATGAAGTCAACTGATCCCCGTGTGCGTCACCATCGCTACAGGTGAGATATTCAAACTGTGCTATTAATCCGATTACTCAGTAAGGTCAGTGGTCGAAGTAAAAATTATAATGTTTGATTTAAAAACATTTACGAAGCATTGGATTGGGTGAAATTAATAAACAAGGAGATGAAAACGTCAAAGACGCTTTTCTTTCGAAATTGACCAGATACTTTTTACATTTTTCATATTTAAAAATGAAGTTAATTAAGATGGTCTTAAGATTTTGAATGTAAGTAACTTTTTGGTTGACGGATTCCTTCGTTTCATTGTGTAGTGATACGTGTCGTTTTTACGGAATATTTAACACACCTGAACGTGACATTCTTTATTTATTGATATTGGTCAACATGCGGACTCGATGACATGAGTGAGTGAGTTTAGTTTTACGCCGCTTTTAGCAATATTCCAGCAATATCATGGCGGGGGACACCAGAAATGGGCTTCACACATTGTACCCATGTGTGAAATCGAACCCGAGTCTTCGGCGTGACGAGCGAACGCTTTAACCACTAGGCTACCCCACCGCCCCTAATGATATGAAAAGGGTTACCCAGATGGAGTTATATGCCGTATTATGTGTTTTCGCCAGATTATGAACCAAACTGTAAACATGTTTTTTTTTCTAAAATCATCAGCTGTTTCATTTCACACTGAACTAAATCTTCATAATATGGCTGAAATACGGCGTAAAGCACAATTCACTCATCAACAAACGACCATTATTAAGTCTGGTCACGAGTATATTACTGTATGCACTGCAGGCCTGTATGTCGACCACGGTGATCCATAAAAATCCGGCACGTTGACAACGGGGAAAGTCGTCGTCACCGTCCTCGAAGACAAGAGCCCCCTGCACGCCGTCGCCTATTACCCTAACGTCACCGGGGACTACGGCGTTGTCTTCTTTATCCCGGGACTGGACGGTGTCATTCTCAGCGCGTTCCACTCCGAGTGTCTCACTGCAATAGCTCAGCATGGGTAGGTCAAGTCAGTCTCGAAACTCTGTATTAAACTCAGCATGGGCAGGTGATACCACATACGTGAACACCATTGTTCAGCATGGGTAGGTCAAGTCCACCTCAAAACTCTGTAGCTCAGCATGGGTTGGTGATACCACGTAGGTGAACACCATTGTTCAGCATGGGTAGGTCAAGTCCACCTCGAAACTCTGTAGCTCAGCATGGCAGGTGATACCACGTACGTGAACACCATTGTTCAACATGGGTAGGTCAAGTCCACCTCGAAACTCTGTAGCTCAGCAAGGGTTGGTGATACCACGTTCGTGAACACCATTGTTCAACATGGGTAGGTCAAGTCCACCTCGAAACTCTGTAGCTCAGCAAGGGTTGGTGATACCACGTACGTCAACATCATTGCTCAGCATGGGTTGGTGAAGTCCAACGCCTAAACTCTCTAACTGAGCATGGGTAGGTGCATTCTCTTCCCACAGAGGTTACTCCTGTCATATCTTCCTACGTAACCTCTGTTCTAATACGGGCCTTTCATGGTGTGAGCGTTCAAGACTCGTGATTGGAGGTAATCAGATTTAGTTGTGCAATCAGCGACGTTGTTTCAAAAGTGATCATTCGCAAGGCCTCGGTAATTTCCGTATACTTCGAGAAAACTAAACCTCTTCCCCTGCGCGATGCGCAAACGTTTCTTCTAGACAGAACACAGTCATGTTATGGCGGATCAGTGGCGTCTCCATCGCCCTCGTTGACAACGGACAAGCTAGCCATTAAACGTCTTGTATGTAACATCAACACAAGTTCCCGGCAGATGGGGGATATTTGTGGCCTCACATTTGCTTGTGTTAGTCAAGTTGAATCTAAGTCGATGTAACACGTGTTCTGATTGGATAGAAAGAAGGGAGATAATTCGTGTTGCGATCTTTTGCCACTAGGGGATTTTACGAGAACCGGGAAATATGGCCGTATTAGAACAGGTTACGTAGGAAGATATGACAGGAGTAACCTCTGTGGGAAGAGAATGGGGTAGGTGATATGAAGTATCTCAAAATTGCATATCAAAGTACACAAAGAACACTGTACCTCAACATGGGTAGGTGATATCAATTATCTCAACTCTTAAGCTCAACATAGGAGAACTCAACTATCGTTACACTGTACCTTAACTTAGGCTGTGATATCCAGTACCTTAGTTATGTTGCTCAACATGGGTCAAGACGTGATAAGGTAATTCTACGACGATGTTGTATTGGCCATAGTCAGTTTACTCATGACTATTGATGGAGATGGACCTCCTATGTGTGTCACTTGCGATGAAGCGTTCACCATCATATGGTGGCTGATTAGAGCCATCGCTTTCTCGCCTTCAAATGCGGAGGCGAGAAAGCGAGAAAGCGATATCACGAGACGAGAAAGCGATAACATGAGACGAGAAAGGGATAACACGAGACGAGAAAGCGATAGCACGAGAAAAGCGATAGCCCTAATCAGCCACCATACCATCAAGCATATACTGCTTGACTGTGTGGACGTTTCAAATGCAAGTGATTCACATTACCAAGCGATAAATCTGAAAGATCTGTTTTCCCGCTTGAGCGGGCATCTCATTGTGAACTACCTAAGGGAAGTTGACCTGTATCATAAAATTGTAACTATGTAATGTGAATGACGGATTGCATGTTTTTTTAAACATTTTGTGCTATGACGTTGTCTGTTGGCCAATAATAATGCCATGAATAAATATGTTATGTTTAAAAACCCAACTCATTTAAGCTTTGTACTTAAAATGTGTACAGACTTGGTCTCGTCGCTATATGGCTGAAGTAATGCCGATGTGACGTAACACTCAACTCAACTCAGTATGGGTAGGTGTTGTTGAGTATCAACTTGAGTAGGTAATATTCAATATGTCAACTACGACATCCCTGAGTTATCCTTAGAACGTCGTAATTTTGGAATTGTTTCAATATTCTATTCCCCAATGTTTGTAGATTCGTCGTGGTCGCTAGTGACTACATTTTTCCTGCGCTTGATAACCCGTCCGGTTACCACATGAACAAAGAGAAACTTGGCTCCATCGCTGACAAGTACATGGAGCAGTTTTACTGGGTAAGTATCAGTCTGGTCGTCGTCTGCTCGTGCCATTTCTGCCAGGGGAGCAGTGGCTCCATATTGTATCCATTGCAACAAGGATTGGTTTCACAGATTGAATCGAACCCGTGTCTTCGGCGAACCCACTGTCAGCTAGACATGACATTCTAGCGCTAACATGGGGCGGTGGGGTAGTTCAGTGGTTGAAGGGTTCGCTCCTCACTCCGACAACCGAGTTCGATTCCCCACATGGGTACATTGTATGAAGCCCATTCCTGATGTCCCCCGCCGTGATATTGCTAAAAGCGGCATAAAACCCAACTCATTCACTCACTCAATGAACAAATCAACACAGCCTATAGGGGCATCCTTCATGCTGTCAGGTTACATTGGGATCGGGTAGTCAGACTCGCTGACTTGGTTGATGCAGGTTATTTTATTCCAATTACGTAGATCGATGATCATTATATCAATCACTACATTGCCTATTCCAGACTCGACAAATTAAAACAGCATGGTAAAAATCCTATCCGGGTTAGAATTGGGGGCCGTTGTACAAAGCAACCTTAGCGCTTCGCCAGTCGTAAGTCAGTGTTAAGGTATGGGAGTTACGATCACCTTAGAGCAAAGATCGCTTTGTACAACGGCACCCTGATCTTTAGCAACCCATGTTTGTCGTTAATGATATCAATCACTGGATTATCCGGTCCAGATTCATTCACTTAAGGACGCTGCCATGCGCAAGGTTAACACGTCACTCAACTTCAATTAGAAAGCGCGACAGGGCTGCAATCAACATTAGATTGTCGTAAAAAGCAACCAAGATGGATCTGTTGTGTGGCTGGTGACTTGGTTAACCGCGCATTTCTTATGGATGAGGAGGTGGGGTAGCCTAGTGGTTAAAGCATTCGCTCGTCACGCCGAAGGCCCGGGTTCGAATCCCCCCATGGGTATAATGTGTGAAGCTCATTTCTGGTGTCCCTCGACGTGATATTGCTGAAATATTGTTAAAAGCGGCATAAAACCATACTCACCCACTCTTATTGTAAGTCGTTCGATTGATTACAGGCCACGGTGAGAGTGTGAACGATGCAATGATGATAAATGAAACGCCCGTCAGCAATACTGCGCATATACTTTCAGCTGAAGTCCAACCTGCAGAGGTTAATCCAAGCCGTAACACCGGGCGTGAATAGCAGTTGGGACCACGTCGGGCTTCTCAGTCACTCTGCCGGGGCCGACGCTTTGTTGAAGATGACGGAGAGAAACCATACCTTGTTCCTGGTACGGCATTTATGTCTAAACTATGGTATCCTAGAAGGGCTATTGTCGCGCTTTGCTTAGTTTTGACACTGTTTGCTTGTTTTTGCGACTAGGCGACAGCGCGATAATGTCCCTTTTAGAATTTCATGTACCAAACGGCTGTTGGCGTTTGTGGCTGAGTTTCTTCCGTTCGTGGAACAATGACATCAGGTTACATCGGGATCGGGTGGTCAGGCTCGCTGATTTGGTTGATGCATGTTATTTTATTCCAGTTGCGTATAGATCGATGTGCATGATGTCAATCACTAGATGGCCTTTTCAAGACTCGACAAATTACAACACCAAGGTAAAAGCCCTCATAGACTCGTGAAGATCTTGCGAAACTGAACTGACAAAACCTAGTTTTGACACGTTTTGCTAGTTTTTGTGAGGACGACGGTATGGCAACGCATCAATGCCCCTTTTAGGATTCCAATACATAGTCGTACTACATATAAAACACCATGACTGACTTAACTAATGCATATCCTCGTATTTCAATTCGGTACATAGATGCTAGTGATATCAATCACGGGATTGTCTGGTCCAAACTCGATTATTAACAAACCGACCTCATATAGATAGAATACTGCAGGGTGCAGCGTGAAACAACAAATATAACTGAAATATGTTCTAGTGTTGCTTGTTTGGTTGTAATTGTTCGGTGTGAACCATTGTTTCAGGCTGTCGTGTTTTGGGAACCCTTCAGTTATCAGTTCACGACAAAGACCAACTACTCCCTCCCAGCTCTCATCACGGGGACGCAGCTGTCCACGAAGAGGACGATCATCGTCCCATGCATCATTGCTGGTTTCGGCTACAACCACTTCTACAACATGTGGGGGGAACCTCTTAAAGTCCTCGTGGACGCCAAGGTGAATAATTTCAACTTACCTTCACTTTAATAGATGCTGCCACTAACGCCACATCTCTATCTACTGCTGCTCCTACTACCGTACCTCCTAATGCTGCTACTACCACACCCCCTACTACTACACGGGTGACCCATGAAGATACGAGTTAAAAGTGGTCTCCAGTAACCCATGCTTGTCATGAGAGGCGACTTACGGGATCGAGTGGTCAGACTCGCTGACTTGGTTGACACATTTCATCGTATCCCAAATTGCGTAGTATAACGATGCTCATGATGTTGATGACTGGATTGTCGTGTCCAGACTCGATTTTATTTACAGACCACCGCCATATAGCTGGGATATTGCTGAGTGCGGCGTAAAACTAAACTCACTCACTACTACCACACCCCCTACTACTACACAGGTATCTGTTCTACAAAGCGGTCCAAGCCCTACGACCTTGTAAGTGTATGCTAAAGTATGGGAGTGAGATTACCTTCGCATAGACCAACATCTAGTCACTGAAATGAACATATACTCTCCCAAAAATAGAAACGCATATAGGAATTTCAGCTGTATTTTTATGTTTATTTTGAAACATCTTGTAGGCTTTATGAGTTAATGAAATATAGCGAAATTGCACACTGGGAATGCAGACTTATCCGTCTTTGGCACCAACTCGAGGAAAGTCAGTTTGAGTGTCACATGGAGACGTGTGGTGGCGCTGAAGTCAATACCTCGTGTGACCACCGTGGGCATCAAGAACTGCACGGCATCGCCTCGGCATCGAACGAATAAGTCTCAGAATCTCGTGTTGCCCAATCGCAGCCCACTCTGCCTGTAGTGCCTGTGCGAGTTGCTGAAGTGTCTGGGGCTGAGGGTTACGGCGTCGCACCGTCTGTCCAGGGTATCCCACACATGTTCGATCGGGTTTAAGTCCGGTGATCTTGAGGGCCAGGGGAGCACATTGATGTTGTGGGTCTGGAGGAAGTCTCTAGTGTGACGTGCTGTGTGGGGCCTGGCATTGTCCTGTTGAAACAACTCCCTCTGCAGCGATCAATGATTGGAAGGAGGTGTGGGCGTAGGATTTCGTCACAGTACCGTTGAGCTGTCAGGTTGCCCTGGATCATCACCAAATCACTTCTCCTACGGCAGGTGATCGCTCCCCACATCATAACACTTCCCCGGCCGAATCTGTCCACCTGGGGAACGCAAGCGTCGGCGAAACGTTCACGTCGACGTCTGTACACCGGCATTCTTCCATCGCGTCGTTCCAATAGAAATCGTGATTCATCACTGAACCAGATGTAGCGATCCTGCGCCGCAGTGGTCGCTCGAGGTCGCCCACTACGAGGGGCATCTGCTACCGCATTCTGCCGGCGATATCTCTACCAGAGCCGTGAAATGGTGCTTTGGTGAACATTGATGCGTCGGGTAACTGCACGTTGAGACTGGCCAGCTTCAAGCAAACCAATGGCGATATGACGGTTGGCTTCACTTAGACGTGGCATTTTGCGTTCGTCAACAATATTCCAAATACAGTGAATAATCGACAGACAGCGATCAACCTTTTATACCCATCATTGAGACTATCTGATCCCCAACTTTCACGTGCATTGCATGTGAATTGTTTGGCGCTAAACAGTAGTAGATAGAGATGTGGCGTTAGTGGCAGCATCTATTAAAGTGAAGGTACTATCTATATGTTTAGGTCGCGTTATCACACTTACAATCACGAACGACATAATCCATGAGGTCGCAGTGACCAAAGTTCTGTAAAAGAAGAAATTATAAAATATAGAACAAACAATCTAAGTTTGCCTGTCTTTTATTATTGGGGTCTTGTCTCACAAAACGATCGGAAAGCAAAGGTCTGGAATATGTGACAAGTCTGGATTACTACAGATTTAGTTTCTGAAAATCATCCATAGGCCCCCTTTTTATTATATTCTATGAGTATAACATAGAAAAACATTTCCTTCTGTAAATTATGATCATTTCAGTGACTAGATGTTGGTCTATGCGAAGGTGATCTCACTCCCATACTTTAGCATACACTTAAAAGGTCGTAGGGCTTGGACCGCTTTGTAGAACAGATACCTGTGTAGTAGTAGGGGATGTGGTAGTAGTGAGTGAGTTTAGTTTTACGCCGCACTCAGCAATATCCCAGCTATATTGCGGTGGTATGTAAATAATCGAGTCTGGACACGACAATCCAGTCATCAACATCATGAGCACCGTTATACTACGCAATTTGGGATACGATGAAATGTGTCAACCAAGTCAGCGAGTCTGACCACTCGATCCCGTTAGTCGCCTCTTATGACAAGCATGGGTTACTGGAGACCACTTTTAACTCGTATCTTCATGGGTCACCCGTGTAGTAGTAGGGGGTGTGGTAGTTGCAGCATTAGGAGGTACGGTAGTAGGAGCAGCAGTAGATAGAGATGTGGCGTTAGTGGCAGCATCTATTAAAGTGAAGGTAAGTTGAGCTTATTCACCTTGGCGTCCACGAGGACTTTAGGAGGTTCCCCCCACATGTCGTAGAAGTGGTTGTAGCCGAAACCAGCGATGATGCATGGGACGATGATCGTGGACAGCTGCGTCCCCGTGATGAGAGCTGGGAGGGAGTAGTTGGTCTTTGCCGTGAACTGATAACTGAATGGCTTCCGAAACTCCAAATGCCGTCAATTTCAATACATAATGTTACCGGAAGCATGGTCAGTTAGATCATATTGTCTGCATGATTCTCTAAATCCTCCCTTGGTCTTCTATGCTGTTCTTTTCTTTTGAACAATGATTCGGCATGGCAAAAAAAAAACCCATAGCAAACGACAATTTGGTTATCATCAATGGGTTGGTTTCTGGTCAAAGGGAGACAATCGTATTTCTTTGTTCAGGAGTTAACTTACCTTAACTGCGCACAATGTAATTTTTGAACACTTCACGCACCCCTCACCAGCAAAGGGAGTTAACCGCGTTCAACAATTCACAGGTTATGTCCCTTGTACTAAACTAAATGTGTTTCGCAAATGGTAAAACGGGTTTGCATTTCTTTCCCCTTGACCATCAACGCCACCGAATCATTGAGTGATACCATTGCTTACTCTTCCAATATTATCAATGTCACTAAGCTGGTTCGTGAACTATCACTCAACATGCACTTTATGATGTTGGTCCTCCTTTGTGTTTGTCCTTTCCTTTTAGAAGAAATCGTCGCACACGAACAGATGGGTATTTTGTGGTCAAAGGGAAGTAATCCATGGTATATGCTTTGTACATGAGTTAACTCCCTTGTCTGCTCCACACAGTGCCTTATTTAGAACTCCACACAGTGCCATCAATCAAAGGGAGTTAACTGCGTGCAACAATCAAGAGTTACGTCCCTTGACCCAAGGGAAGTAAGTCTGTTTAACAATTGTTAAACAGGATATACAGTTACTTCCCTTTGACCGTCAACGGCATGGGTCTTCAAATCCAATGTATAAATGGGTTGTGTCGATGTCGTATATGAGTAACAGGTTAATCCGACTGAATCCGAATGAAACTGAAATTATCAGTGCGTGCTAAACGAATCCTCATCCATGACCACTCAGTATGTGTTCCGCTAACTTGAAAACATCTGGATACGTGTATGAAAGCATTGTCAGAGTTGTCTCCCTTTGACCATGTTCCTTCCCTGATATTTCTTTTCCGATCAGTCGTCGCTGCCATTTAAGCTGAATTATTTTTTCTCGTATGGGGTGGTATATAAATCTATCCCAGGTAGAATTCAGTTTACAAATATCTACCCTACCAGTGCTAACAAAGGTGGAGTCAAACTCCATACAGAAACAGATTTAGCATTGTTCACAAAATTGCACATTATACCACAATTAGAAGATTTCCATGGAAGCCACGACATTTTCTATTTCTACATACATTTAAACCAAAGATTGTGTAAATGTAACCTCGATTCAGTACACAAGGCAGACATCGCCAATAGTGTCGAGGAATGCTGTTAAGAACGAGAAATCGATACTCGTCATATGTGAACCGGTGGAATGTTAAACC